ACCTTCTAGAAGGACTACAGCTAGGCCTCTGGACTCTACTTGGACTTCTACCTTACAGGTCTATAGTTTGAATCTCCCTACAGCCTACAACCTACGGCGACCTACTTACCACTGGCTATCGTGCAGGTCACGGGTTCAACTCCAGGGAACTGTGCAGATACTGTACTCAGGTAAGCTGAGGTCAAGGGATCGACCCCTGGGATCTGCATCGGCTACTGCCAAAGGTGAAAACTGTTTCACATACTACAAATGGCAGGTCCTATCTAGCCTATCTACAATGTCGCTGATGACGTCAACAGCTCCCTGAAGTACAAGCAGATCTCGGCCAATGTCGTACGCTTCAAGCACCACATATGTCTCTCGTATCACTCACAACCTCATTCCCCAACTCACAGATGCCACATGCACCCAAGGACGACCATGCGCCCCATCCAGCATACAGCAACGCAGCTCGGCTATGGCTGCCTGCTCCTTCCAGCTCGCCCGTGAGCGCGTGGGCGCTGACCAGCGTTAGCGCAGCGGCGCTTGCGCAACATGCAGCCAGTGCCCGAATGCCTCATGTGTGGGCTGGCCCTTTCCTAAATGGAAGTGGCAAGCCTACTTGCGTGCAGCCTGGCTGCGCTGGGCCCCTACCCAGAAGCTTCCGGTAGGCCCAGGGAGGCTGAGCCTCTGACCAAACGAATCAGGCCCAGGGCCACCGACAGTTACCCGTGCTCAACTGTCCGCAGCCTGAGTTGGATCTATGCTGCGTATCTCGCCCAGGGCCTGACTTAGATACATTTGGTAAAGGAGGCCAGGGCCTAGGCGCCTTCAACCAACTGGCGCTGCGCAACTGCCTGAATTTTCCCCAGTTGCGAAGTAGTCCAAAATAGGCATCTTGTCGTCTGTCGAGCCTGCCTTCATTTAGGGCGGCCGACCTGTTGCAAATAGGGGCCCAATAGGGCTTATCGAGGCCTTATGCCTCACATTCCCGCCTCCATACTTCGCTAGTCCTCTGAGAAGTCCAATCTTCGATAATCTGGCGCTTTCCTTTCTGCAGAGACTTCTCATATTGAGCGACAACCTGTGGAGCGGTCTGCATAAGTTCCTCTCGTGTGAACCATCTATCCTCCTTTGGATCAGTATGATGTATGAACCGAACTTGGTACTGCAGTTTCGGTTTCGGAGGACGTTCCCTGCTTGTCAGTCTTGGAACTGACATTTCCTTGTGGTCGACGATGTCGTCGATGTCGACCTCTCCATCCATGGTTGGAGGCAGCATTGAGTGACGAGAGGGAAACTGATCTGTTTCCTTGAAAGGTGCAAGCTCGGAGGCGTAGAAAACGGGGTAAGTGTGTAAGTGACCAGGGATGTGAATAACATAAGAAGGGTCATCCGGTTCATCCCCAACGACATCTAGAACCTCCCATGGTCCAAAGTACTGTGGCATGAGCTTGCGGGAGATCCCGTGCTCCTGTCCCAATTCTGAGGACTTAACCCAGACTCTTTCTCCTACCTGGAACGTAGATGGACGGCGGTGTTTGTTCTTTGACTCTATCATCGCTGCCTGTGTTTTATGCATCTGCTCAACACCCTGCTGCATCAGGCGCTCATACCGATAAGCAAACTCAAAGGTCCCTGGTGCAGCAGATGACTGATTCTCAGGTAGTAGGAAGTCCAAAGGCAGTCTAGGCTTGAAAGTCAGTAGCAAGCTGTTCGGGCTCACTTCCGTAGCGCTGTGCACAACATTGTTGTACAGGTTGGCGATGAGAGTAAGTTTCTCTTCCCAGTCCACCTGATTTGGCTTGATGTAATGCCTCAACAGGTGTTGTACAGCGCGGTTCAACTGCTCTGCCTGCCCATTCGCCTCTGGGTGATTGCCTGATGCCATTTGCAACTGCGTGCCCTGTTCTGCAGCTGAGGCTTTCCATAGTTCACTGGTGAATCGCACATCCCGGTCACTAACTATAGAGTTGGGAAGTCCGAAATCTCTGACCCAGTTTTCTTTGAACAACTTGATCACATACACAGTTTTAGCTGTTGCAGACATTGCGACTAACCTAGCGTACTTACTAAACCTATCCACAATTACATAGACATAGCGCATTCCACTCTTGTTGGTGACCAGTGTATCCATAAAGTCCATGGACAGGCTCTCACCAGGCCTTTCCGGAATCGGAAGGGGCTTTAGAAGCCCAAGAGGGACCTGTGTACGTGGCTTGTCCCTCTGACAGACCTGACAAGTTTCCACGTACAGCTTGGCATCCCTCATCATCGTGGGCCACCAGAACCGCTGCAGCAGATTAGCTGCTGTCTTTTTGTAGCCAAAATGGCCGGTGGCGTCATGACACTCTCCTAAAAATGAACTGCCCAAAGACTCCCGATTAGGCACACACATATGTTTATTCCCGGCCTTCTCAAGAAACAGCAAGTCGTTGACCGACTCAAACTCGGCAGAAGTCACTTTGTCCTTCGCCTCAAGTCTGCGAATGATCTCAGACATAAACGGATCCTCGTGATAGGCTTCCACCATTGAGCGAGTGACATCGTCCGCAAGCCCAAACTCAACGATCAGCGCACCGGAGAAGTCTGGCCTACGTGATAGCGCATCAGCAACTCGGTTGTATTCTCCCTTGATGTACTGGGGTTCAAAGTCATACTGCTCGATGACTTCAATCCATCTTTTCAACGCATCAGAGAGCACCGGTTGGGTTCTCGTCCACTTCAGGGTCTGATGATCAGTCCTGACGTAGAAGAACCTCCCAAGGAGATAGTGCTTCCAGTGGGTGAGTGCTTTGTAGATCGCATAGAGCTCCTTCTCATAGGTGGACTTAGCCAACTTCTGAGAGGGCATCTTTTTGGACATGTACTCAATAGGCCTCAACTTTGGCCCCTCCTGCTGCGCGAGCACGACGCCTATGCCATATTGGCTAGCATCTGTGGTGACTATAAACGGCTTGTCAGGATCGGGAAGCTTCAAGACCTCATGGTGTGTCAACGCATGCTTCAGATGTCTGAAAGCAGCCTCACACCTGTCTTTCCACTCCCATCGGGTGTCAAGGCGGGTCACGTCCGGCAACTATGCTATAGTTCTTCACAAAATTGCAATAGTAGCCAGTCATCCCTAAGAAGGTCCTCATCTCAGTCACAGAGTGAGGACGCGGCCAGTCACAAATGCTGGCCACCTTCGCGTCATCGGGCTTCAAACCCTCCGCAGAAATCTCATGACCCAAGTACAAGATCCGGGTGCGACCAAACTCGCATTTCTCCCGTTTGATCTTGAACTTGCGCTACCGAAGGAGACTGAGGACTTTGTCTAAGTGCGCAACATGCTCCTCAACAGTCCTACTAAAAATACGTATGTCATCGAGGTACACGATGACAAACTTATCCAAGTAGTCATGAAAGATCCGATTCATAGCGTGCTGAAAGGTGCCAGGAGCATTGCAAAGGCCGAAAGGCATCACCACAAACTTGTATAGACCGTACCTGGTTTGAAATGCAGTTTTGTGTTGATCCTCGGGCCGAATTGCAATCTGATGGTACCCGAACTTCATGTATATCTTACTGAAGTACCGACACCCTTGCACTCTATCTAGCAAATCGTCGATGCGCGGTAGGGGCTCTCGGTTCTTGACACTGATGGCATTGAGGCCTCTATAGTCAATGCACATTCTGAGTGTACCCCCCTTCTTTGGCACAAATAAAACTGGCGATCCGTAAGGGGAGACACTCGACCGGATCCATCCCTTCTCTATGAGTTCCTTGAGTTACGCCGGCGAAGCTCGTCAAGCTCGCTTGGAGACATCCGATAGACCCTACCCTTCGGGATGCTACACCCTCGGATAATCTGTATCGCGTGGACGACCTCCCTCTCGACAACCCCTGTTGGCTCTTCAAATAGATCAGGGTACTTAGCAACTACTCCCTCTATCTCCGACGACATTTTCACTGGCTCGCCTGCTGCAGAGACATATACTACATACATACCCTCCTCCGGATTTTGCTTATAGTAATTATAGAACGTGGCCGCACACATGCATCCGTAGGACTCGATCAGACTACTAGCCTTAAACTTCCGTAATCTGGCGGTCCCCCCACTTGGCAAAGTGTGTTTGACATCTTTTCGGTCCCAGTCAAACTGGGGTTGTGCAACGAAGAGGTAGTACATACCTAACAAGATATTCATAGGGAGATCATCGCTCACTAGGAACGAAACGTGATGTCTCAGTTCCCCTCCCGCGTACGGGAAACAACACTCAACATCCTAAAGGTAGTCATTGACTACCATGCTCTGTTTGTTGGCACAAGTTGACTCAGGCGTTGTACTTTGCCCCTGTAAGTGCAACCTCTCAACGCACGCGCGACTAATAAAGTTTTGTGTCGAGCAAGTGTCATAATAGGCCCCGGCCTTGCGGCCGCCAAGGACTACCTCGCTGACGAACATCTCACCGTTAGGAGCTTTGACCAATATCGTCCAAAAAGCTAGTGGGTCTGATCTAGACCACTTTTCCTCTAGCTCCTCTAAGGACTCAAACACATTCATCGAACAGAAGCTCGATGAGTCGGAATATGTTTGCGGGGTGACGATGGAGTCAGTAGCTTGGGCCATCTCTCGAGATGGTGAGGGTGTGTCCACCACCTCGACCCTAGCAGGAACAACTACTATTCTTACTGGCCCGACGTGTTTCCCGAAGCGGTGCCAGAATTACTGGCCACATTGCTACCAACAGGAGCGGAGGATCCCAACACCAGCCCCATAGTAAGCGGGATATTTTCGGCCACCTTCTTATTGCGAGACTTGAATTGGTTATGGCCGTATTGGCCACAACGGATACAAGCCTGCCGCGTGTACCGATCTCTCCACACGTCCTCACTGAGACCCGCTTTCTCCCATGGAGGAGCGTTGGGGTCAACTTGACTCCTTGACCGGGAACCTCCTCGGTGTCCACCGGTCGCCTTACCTTTTTGAGCTACGGCAGCGACTACTCCACCCCCTGAAGCTTCTACGCTACCAGCCTCTGAACCTACTCCCGCCTGGAAGTTGTCGTCCAACTCAATGGTGGATACATCATTGTCGACGACCATTATGCGTCCCTTCGCTTTCCAGTTGGGAGGCAGTCTTTTTCCTACCATCCGTCATGGGTGTCTGACCATGCCCTATCTTTGCTTCAAGGTCTAGGGCCTTCTTGCTAAACGAGGGAAAGTTGTGCATGTTGATGTTGGCCTCACCTGCCAACTGATTCCGGAGAGGCATAGGAAAGCATCTTAGGTAGGAGGTGAGTAAAACCTGGGGGTCATAGCGCACCCCAGGGACACAGATCAGATGCTCTACTGTGTCTGTGGCCTCCCTTACTGACTTAAACTGCCTCGTATGCAGATTGAGGATCGCGTCAGTGGCCTTTTGGGCCTCCTGAGGATCATGCCACCTTTCTTCCACCAACTTGAGGAAGTCATCCAGTTTTTGGGTGACCGCCCAAGCACGGAAGTCATGACCGTATCCCTGCAACTGCACTAAACCACTCAACCATCTTGTTGCACTCCCCTCTAAATAGGAGCCAGCCACAAGCACTTCCTCATGCGGCAAGGTAAGTTTGCACTTGACGTAGACTGGCACTGACCTCAACCATGTGTTGAGGTCTTCGCCCCTCTTGTCCCCTGTGAAGGGTTTAGGAGCGGTGATGGCCGTCTTCGGAACCCACTGACTTTGTCCCGGTACCTACAACATTCCGGGTTGTGGACCCTGAGGAGCAGGCTGCTGCACTATCTGCTGCTGGGACTGTGTACCCTGCGGCTGTGTAGACTGCCCGCTTACGGCAACCTGCGACAGAGGTTGGGAAAACACTGTCTGTACAGGAATATGCACACTAGGCCCTGATGAGAACCCGCCTGTCATAGGCATACTCAGGGAAGCGGACTGGACCGATGTTGGAGCTATGTATGGGGATACCCCAATCACTGGTGGGAAAAAACGAGGAGGTTGTACAACGGGCTAGGCACCAGGCCCGGACAGTGATGGCGCCGCCTGCGCTCGCCCGACCAACACGGCCAAACTTTGCTGGATGTCCTGTAAGATCATTGTCTAGTGATCTTGCATCTCTACTACACCTAGCAAGACCGCCCTTAGGGTCCTCACATCATCATCCAAATCTGTTGAGTCCATCTCCTCTAACTCACTAATGTCCGCTTGTCTCCGCTCCATCCTGACTCTTCTTCTAGTCATTTTTTCCTTCTCTGCCTTAATCTCTCCCAAAGCCTGCTATAGTTGTGCATCGCGATCAGCAGCTCGCTGTATGGCGACCTCTTCGGGAGTCATGACTAGTGGCTGGCTTGCCATGACGCCAGTGGACTGACTCAGGGTTTGTGCAACCGTTGACCCTACTGACCCCGAACTTCCGGCCTGGGAACTCTGTTGCGCAGCAATTGCCATGGCTGCTGAAACAGCGGCTTCGCTTGCAAATACCCTGCTTGCCTTTGCGGCCCTAGCTCTCCGCTGCAGCTGCCGTTTCTCCCTAAGCTGGCGGAACAGAAACCTGTCACCCTCTGGTCCTAATGCCAAGTGGGCTATCGGGCGTCTTGCCGATCGCAATAGCTTATCGTCCGGTTGTGGGACCTCCCTGTCGCTCATAAGCTACAGCACTATACACAGTCTGCACTAGGACACTCTATATGCCTACGACAACATAGTGCACAGACGAATTTAAAATAAATAAATAATTAATTGGTGGCTGTATCAGAGTCTATACATTCGGGTTCAACAGGTAAGTTCAAATTCCTACAAACGAAACTATTTTTACTTAATTAGTCCGCGAACAGAAAGCAAATTTCTATCTAATGTTGTCTGTCAGATGTCAATGGCAGTCCATCTAACTAATCAAAAATAAAAACAGAATCACTTGTTGGGTCTGTTTGCAGAATGGGATCTTGCCCGAACTTATCACCTGGAATCTACCCCTCCCTCAGTTCTTCCTGAATGTCTCCTGTCGCCAACGTCCCTAAGCGATCCAGATAGTGTGCATGTCTGAAGGTGTGCACACGGCCCACCCCTGTGCCTCGAGTCCTGCTGAGCTGGCCAGCCCTGCACCATGTTTATCCTCGCGTGCAGCGAGCCTCACACCGACCGATTGGCTGATCAGGAGGCGTTTTTTATGGACGGCCCCCAAAGTCCTCAGGAATTATTTAACGTCGCAGACAGGACGACGATCACAGTCAGCGGAAGGTCCCCGCTGGTACTTATTTATAGGCGTCCGGTCTTGTCTTTCCCATAGGGCTAGCCTGCCCGCCAGAACCCCTCTACAGCGCAGCGAGCAGACAAAGGACAAAGCAGCAAAGCCTGCGTGCTCTACTCCCAGTGGGTTGGCATGGTGACCGTGACCCGGTGCTTTGTCCAGGGCCCTTCAGATAGCACCGCTCTCTCCTCCCAGATGCTCCACGTGAAGGCTGGCGACTCTCAAGGTTGAGCGCACACGACTCCTCACATGAGAGGACTCTCAAGACAGAAAACACATCCTCACGGTAAGAAGTGTTGAAGAGGGTAGATAAGGTTAGGTGCAACGTACCTCAAAATAGTTGCCCCCAACCACAAATATTCTCACCAGATGACCCGATGTTGATTGTGATGACCAATCGCTGCTTCGACACAACCAGCATTGCACCACCGTTCCACCTCAGCATCAATCACACATCAGATAGTTCTCATCACACTGCGAACACCCAATATTCACCGCATAGCCTTCCTGGCGATCCCCTCTCCACCTGGGTCGCCTGCTTATCTTCGCCCTCCTCGCTACACATGTCCCACGGCACGGTCGCTCACCGCACACACCGCGTGCATGTTCCGCATTAGGCAGAAGACAAGCGCCAGATTAGCGCACCGAACCACAACTCTGATACCAAATTGCAAGGAAAATGAGCGATAGCGAGCTTCAAAAATCAAACAGCATCATACACATGACCTCCAACCAATAGCAGAATTGCATCACGAGTTCCACCAAACAAGAGCACAGCAAAAGCTCATAATTGACAATGCTGAAATAGTCTCATCATCATCAGCGAAGAACCTATGTCGATATCCTATCTGGCGCTCGACGCCCAGACTACAAATGGCAGATCCTATCTAGCCTGTCTACAATGCCGCCGATGATGTCAACAGCTCCCCGAAGTACGAGCAGATCTCGGCCAATGCTGTACGCTTCAAGCACCACGTATGTCTCTCGTATCACTCACAACCTCGTTCGCCAACTCACAAATGCCACATGCACTCAGGGACCCCCATGCGCCCCATCCAACATACAACAGTACAGCTCGGCTATGGCTGCCTGCTCCTTCCAGCTCGCCCGTGAGCGCGTGAGTGTTGGCCAGCGTTAGCGCAGCAGCACTTGCGCAGCATACAGCCAGTGCCCGAATGCCTCATGCGTGGGGTGGCCCTTTCCTAAATGGAAGTGGCCAGCCTGCTTGCGTGTAGCCTGGCTGTGCTGGGCCCCTGCCCAGAAGCTTCCGGTAGGCCCAGGGAGGTTGAGCCTCAGACCAAACGAATCAGGCCCAGGGCCACCGACAATTACCCGTGCCCAACTGCTCGCAGCCTGAGTTGGATCTATGCTGCGTATCTCGCCCAGAGCCTGACTTAGATACATTTGGTAACGGAGGCCAAGGCCTAGGCGCCTTCAACCAACTGGCGCTGCGCAACTGCCTGAATTTTCCCAGTTGCGAAGTGGTCCAAAATAGGCCTCTTGTCGTCTGTCGAACCTGCCTTCACATGGGGCGGCCGACCTGTTGCAAATAGGGGCCCAGTAGGGCGTATCGAGGCCTTATGCCTCGCAGTAGGGAAATGCTGCCGAAAATTCCAAAAAAACAAATATTATTTCTCTCTTCACATTTTATTTACTTATTTCTTTAATTATTTTTATTTTATTTATTTTTATTTTCTCTCAAAATTTCACTGTTTATTTATTTTTCCTTCCGCCTCCCCCCCCCATGGCTGCGATTTTATTTTCTTGATTAGATCACCGGTACCCTACCCTTACCACTCCGGTTAGGGTTTTCTTAGGGTTTTTCTAGGGTTTAGGGTTTTTCGAACCCCCCCTACTCTCCCATCACCCCTTCTCCCTACTTCCCCTTTCCATTCGGGCACCCTGGACCCGAGCCACCCTTCCCCCTTTGCGGGCGCCCGCGCTCGACTCACTAGCGCCCCCCGTCGCTTTCTACCGCAGACCCCCCCCTACGCCCTCCGCTCACGCGGACCTCCTCTGGCCCCCTCTAGTCTGGCCCGTCACCTCCCCATGGCCGACGGTGTGTCACAAGCCGCCGACGTGGCGACGACCTCGGCATCGGGTTCCATACCCGTGCTGGCGGACCAGGGCCATTAGGCCCAGGGGAATCTGCACACCCTCCTCACCTCCCTCCTTGCGCCCTTACAGGCGCAGGTGGCGACGCTTGCCGCTGGTCTGTGACAACTCCAGGACGCTGGCCGTCCTTCCTCTCCCCACTCTCTCTTCCCCTGGCTCCCAGTCCGGGTCCCCCGTCCTCCGACATGGTGGCCACGGCGGAGCTTCCTCCTCCACTGCCCCCGACTCGACCATCCTGGTGACCGTCCACGCTCCTAGCACGACGGTCGCCACGGGCGAGGCCCTCCCTCACTCTACGGGCGCACCCTCCCAGATTCCCCTCACTACGGCCACGGGACCACAACCCGCTGCCGTGGTCTCAACTTTTCCTGGTCCCTCGCTTCCCCTCCCCTTCGCACGACCGCAGCGCCACCTGGCTCTCCCCCTTATGGGATGCCCCGCGCAACTCGTGCGTCTACTTCCCCCACTCCTCCTCCTGCTACTCCCCGCTCGATCTATGTCCGTCGTCTTGAGATCGAGCTTGCCTAGATCCGGGCCGACCTCGCCCTCTTACGCCTTCAACCACCCCTTCCATCACAGGTGGCCACGCCTTCGGGCGCACATCCTTCTTCCTCTACTCTTCCTTCCATGCAGGTTCCCTCGCCCTGCACCCCCTCCATCCCCACCCTACCTCCTTCCTACTCCTCGGTTGCTGCGACCTCTTCTACCACCGCTCCCTCGCAGCCTGCCGCTCTTGCCCTCGCCGCTCCCCCATGCGGCCTGGGCGTACAGTCAGTTGCGCCCCTTTCTCCAGGACTTGTGCCAACTTACTCAGTCGTAGCGCAGGTCTCTGCTCCTCGATCTCCTCGCCGCCAAAACGATGGCGCACCACTCGTCCGCTTGACGGACATTGCCTTGTATGATGGTACTGGGATACGCGTATCTCGGTGGCTACAGCCTGCCACCCGCACGCTCCAGCTCATGGGCGTCCCACCCGACACGTGGATGGCTCACCTCTCCACGCGCATGCATGGCGGTCCCTTCAACGCCTGGGAGGATTTCTACACTCACTCCCTTTGTGAAGGTCGGACCCCGACCTTCATGGATTTCCAGGCGTTCCTCGAGGATCGCTTCGGTGCCCGACACGATGTGACTGACGCCTTCGAGCGCATTGTTAGTACACACTGGTCCGACTCTGGTGGCGATGTCGGCCTGGACTGCCACATCCAGGTCTTTCAGGATGCCCGCCTCATTTGCGATGTGGCGTTCCTCCTCGAGGCTGCCCTTATCGATCGTTTCTTGGCCAGCCTCCCCCTTGAGTACCGCTCCGAGTTATGGCGGTATAACTTCACATCGGTCCTGCAAGCTTACGAGACCGCTAGGGCCCATCAGCGGATGCGGGCCCATCTTCAACCCACTTCCTCCTCCCTGCCTCAGCGTACTGGTTACGCTCCCTCCTCCTCTCATGACACTTCCCAGCGTCGTTCCCCTTTCCACGGCCGTCCCCGCCGTTCCACGCAGCAGGGCTGTCACTTCTTGAGCCGCTTCAGCGCGCTCAAGTATGGTGAGCAGGATGTTGTTGCCCCCCTGTCGCCTGAGGACGACCATAGCGACGACCTCGACCTCTCCGAGGCCGTCCACTACCACCTGGAGGACTCTACCCTCCCTATAGTCGACCGCCTCCAGCTCGCCCTCTCCACCCTCTCCCGGGCACGCAGCCGCTCTGGTCCCGCTGGCGCGTCGCCCCCTGAGGTCCCTCAGCAGGACCTCCCTCAGGGCTTTGTCCCTCCTCGTGGTGTCCTTTCCGCTAAGGAGCGCGAGGCCATTTTGGGCCAGCGTGGGTGTTTTCGCTGCCACCAGGACGGCCATACCTCCTCGTGGTGCCCTTACACCGCCGCCCTCAACCGCCGCTACGCTGAGCTCTCTCACCAACGTCGTGCTCAGTCCCCCAACGACGCCTCCTAGCCATGGTGCAGTGTACACCTGCACCCTCCTCAGTAGTCGGCTTCCCAGCACCGAGGCCGATTAAAACGAAGTGTGGACAAACGTATCGTGTACCTTTCATAGGTACCACTGCGACACCACGCCTTGATCCTCCTCCGTCGGAGCCTTCCGTGCCCACACCATCTCCTACTATCACCGTCACCTTGCCTCGACAGTTCGCCCACTTCATCCGACAGGACGACGTCACCTTCTTTACGGTGAACGTTACGGATCTCTTGCACTATGATCCACCCTGTCCAGACGTCGAGCTCATCTCTTTGGAGCTAGATCCTCCTTCTATCTCTATGACTTCCATCTCTACTTCCCTCCCTCCGCCGTCCGTCGAGTCCACCCTGCCGCCGCGCGCTGACGCTGACGCTGAGGAACTCACACGCTATACGGCTGACCTAGAGCCCGCAGTTCGTGACCTCATTCAAGAGTACCACGACGTTTTCCCATCGTCGTTCTCGTATGTCGACATCCCACCGATGCGCAACGTCAAGCATTCCATACAGCTTGTGCCTGACTATCGTGTTCATCACCAAACACCCTACAGACTCTCGATCCCCGAGGCCACCGAACTCGAGCGTCAGCTTGAGGAGCTCCTGAGACTGGGTTTCATTACCCAGCAACTCCCCGTGGGGTGCACCCGTCCTCTTTGCTCGCAAAGCGAAGGGAACTCTCCGTCTCTGCATCGATTATCGCGGGCTCAACCGCTACACGATTAAGAACAGTTACCCTATGCCTCGTTCCGACGAGTTGTTTGACTGCCCAGCAGGCAACCGCTTCTTTACGAAGATTGATCTTCGTAGCGGTTACCATTAGATCCGCGTCGTTGCAGGGGACCAGCCGAAGACAGCGTTCCGATCGCGCTTTGGCCACTACGAGTTAATGGTGATGCCATTCGGCCTCACCAACGCACCCGCTACCTTCTAGAGGGCGATGAACGACATCTTCAGGGACATCCTGGAGCAGTACGTTCTCGTCTACCTCGACGATATCCTGATCTACAATCGTACCCTTGAGGAGCATCTCAGACACCTCTGCGACGTCCTTGACCGCTTGCGCAGACATGGTTGGCGTTTCGCTGGACGACCATACGAGCGCCCTCCACCCATCATGGTGGACGACCACGAGGAGTTCCTCGTTTCAGACATCACTGGTCGCCGAGTCACCGACGACAACCCTCCTCACGTCGAGTATCTCGTACGTTGGAAGGGTTACCCTGATGAGGAGGCTACCTGGGAGCCCCTCGAGCACTTTCAGCACGCTTGCATGTTGGTGCGTGCCTATGACCGTGCTCGTCGTGCTGGGTTGACTACTCCTCCTCAGCCCACTGACCCTCCTCCTTCTCCCTCGGCTGAGGAGACCGTTGAAGTCGAGCCTGCTCCATCTGAGGCAAACCTTCAGTAGCAGCCGGATGCTTCTGAGCATCCACAGTGCACTCGTCGTCGTCCTGCTCGATGCGACGATTGACTCTGACTTATCTTCCCATGTCTTTGACTTCTCAGTACTCCATCCACTCCAGTTTCTCTACTTCAGCTCGTCGACGTTGCGCCTCTTTTCCTCGACGGCATTCCAGACTTCTCATCATGGACGTCATCAACAGCTTCACGGCCTTCGTCACGATCAGCTCTGCCTACTTCAGACGTCGTCACTCTCTTACCACCTTACCCTCTACAGTACCCTGGTTGTGTCGCATGATGGTCTCTCTTCGTCGGGTTCCTTTGAGTTGGGCTCTCCCTTGGTATACGCATAGGCATCGGAACTGTAGCGTTGCCCTGGCTTCCCAACTTACGAATCTAGCTCCGACTTCCCTCACTTTAGGAGTCGTTTGCATGATTCCCTTACCCATCACTTTTTCTACCCTCTATCGGCCCTCACGCCCTAGCTAGGCAGCCTTGCATGCTTCATCTAGGTGAGCCCAGTATACCAGGCTCCCTTGTTCCCTTGCATGGTCGACCCTCCATAGCGGTCACCCCTTTAGTCGAGCATTACCCGCCCTGATGGTCTATCTGTTAGGGTCATTGGTTCGGTTCGCTCCTAGTTCCCTACCCTCATTGAGCCTGATGACATGTATCTCCCTGTCATTATGTGTGGATGCCCTTTGGAGTTTATCGACCCCTAGGCTGCATTCGCCACCCTCAAAGACCATCCCACCCTGTGGTTTGCGACACACTCCTCATGTGACATATGGTTGTCTTGTTGTTGCTTTGTTGCTCTCAGACTGAGGCTACTGCCTCCAACGTTTCTAGGATTTAGTTGTTTCTGCTTTTGTTGTTCTTAGGACTTATACACTAGTTAGTTGTTTCCAGACTGAGGCCACTGCCTCCAACATTCTACGATTTAGTTGTCATTACTTTCTGCTTTCCTATAACATGTATACTAGTAAGTTGCTTCTGCTTTCACTTAGGCTGTTAGTTGTGACATTGCTGTTTTTTGTGACAATTTTTATCCTAGGTTGCATCGCATGGACTCATTATGGAGCTTGCTCCGCATCCTAGACTACTCGGGTTTTCTTTTTTCTTTGGTAGAGTTCCGCTTCTTGGCGGAAGCGTGCTTGTATCTAGGCAATCCATCACAGGCCAAGGATCATGTAGCGGACCTCTGGTTGGCCTGTGAAACCAGCCCCTTGGCCCGTTCTCACAGGCCTGTGTTGTATTCGGGGTAGTCCAGTCCAGGCCGGTACCTCTGTCGGTACCAGCCAGTCCAGTCCAGTCCAGTCAGTCCGTTGGGGTATACCCCAGCCAGAGTCTGTATTTCGGGTCATTCTACATTCGCACAGTTTGGAGTGCGTGTGTTGGAGTCTCGTGTGGGAGCTGCACTGTGCCATCTTGCTCCACTCTCATCCTCCATCTCCATCTCTATCCCAGGCGGAGCACCACACCTGGTGGGTCCGCCACAAGCGGGGCCGGGCCCGCACGAAAAGCCACAAAAGAAAAAGAAAAAAAAGTGGGGCCGTCGTCGTGCAAAAAGGCACAAAAGAAAAAGAAAAAAACACGGAAAACGATGAAAAGCCACAAAAGAAAAAGAAAAAAAGAGGGCAACGACAAACGCACAGCCGTGAAACAGACAACGCAAAAATCGTGACGATGAAAGAAAAAACAAAAAAAAACACGCGGCCACAAAACAGACGACGCGAAAACCATGAAACGACAAACGAAGAACAAAAAGAAAATGAATATCCACGCGGACGGAACAAAATGAAAAAGAAAAAAAAAAAAAAAGTCCGCGCCGGTTACTTATCGACGGTGGCCGCTTCAAAATATTCCATCGCATCTATGCCCGCCGCTGCCCAGCCCCGTGGGTGATCACTCACGTTTGCTGGCACGCTGTGAACAATTCAGTACGCGCACCGCTCTGCACGCCCCCCCGCCCTCGATCGCCTTTGTCCGCCGACCCCCACCAAAACTTCAGCCCGATTTCGGAGCGCAGCGGACCATCGACCTTCCCCCCGCTGCCAATGCTTCTTAAGGGATAGGATGACAATAAAAAAGGCCTGAAAGGCCATCCTGTCCAGATTCGACGGGTATTTGAATTCGTTGGGCTTAAAGAATTAGCCTTAAAAAAAAAAAAAAAAAAAAAAGTTGTTTCTATTGCAATTTTAGTATTTTACACAACTTTCCCCCCCTCCCTTTTTTTTTCCTATTGTAATATTATGCGCTTGGGACTGCTTGGGCCCTGCTCGCCCCAGGCCGCCCGGGAAGGTCCCAGGCGACCTTCCCCCAGCCGGGCCGCCCTGGGACCAGCATAGTGAATACAATACCCCGGGTGTTATAAACGAAAATAACACACATCAGCCGTTATATTTATATATGACATCCAAGCTTTGTTTTTGGGCGAATCCTGAACATCTTTGTCCCCATTGGTGATCGGTGAAGACTTTTTATGGTTGTGGATTTACCATTCATTTTATCTTCGATGAAGATTTGACTGAAGATGACAAACCATGTCTTCACAATTGTTATCTGGCATCTCAGTCATGACTGGCATTCATGTCCGGAACAATAAAGCTCCACTTTAAAACACAGTGTCAGGTTGCAGTGGTTAAGGTATCCAGCTTGTATGACTGAGATCACCCCATTTCATGCAACGTTTGATACCGGTTCTCGAAAAATACTGATTGGATACAACAACTGTTATCCAAACAAGAAGGTTAAATCTGTCACAGAATCGTATTATCAGTTTATCATACTGAAGCCCACGAGTCATTTTGTCAGTACGACTCAGTAGTTTATGCCCAAAAGCCAAATCAGATGGAAAGATTGTGGGACATTGCCCACTGCTCACCTTGGTCTTGAAGGCCTCTCTAGTTCCTCCGGGGAACATGAATGCCATCTCTCCTCTCTCCAGCGCCTTGTACAAAGTTCTTGGTGAGATCTGGAGAGCCAAATCAGTCACAAAAGCGGACATTTGCAAGGAAACATCAGGTTGTATACGCGTGGTTTTCTGGAGTACAATCACACCTAGTTTTCCTTTGCAGACTGGCTGACAGTGGCCGTTCTGATCAGCTTTCTAGAGGAAGAGGAAGGGAAGAAACAAACAGCTGGAAGCATGAATAAATGGAGAAACATTCGAGAACTGCAATATATATTGTCACATCACTACAAACTAAAAGAGCGCACTTTGCGGAACGAAGAATAAAAGCAAAAAACGGGCACAGTGATAACATGCAAAAATAAAAATAAAAAGAAAAAACAAGGGCAGATTGAAACCATTAAATTTCTCATTCTTCTTTGAACTCCACCTCCACTGTGCCTCTCACGTGCAAGGCTTGCCACGTTGATGAAGTTGAGCGCGAGCTGCCCCCATCCCCGTATGCCATAACAGCCCACTTGCACGCTGTGAGAGAGGC